GCTGTGCTCATATCTGAAATAAAGCTCCACCGATTCTTGTTAGGATCATAAATTTCAGCAGAACGAAGAGTCCTTTGAATTCCGTCACACTCCCCACCAGCTACATAAAGGCAATTATTAATAACACAGGACCCAAAGAAATGGCGTTTCCGAAGCATATCTGGTGCCCTGTGCCATTTATTTGTCCGAGCACTGTAAAAAATAACCCGTCTCATAGATCCCTTCAATGGATCTTTTCCTCCAAATAAGTACAGGTGACAACCGCTAAGGACAGCACAACCAAAACCAAGCGCTGCAGAATATTCACCAGGAACAGGTGGAAGCGGCTGCCAGAGCTGGTATGTAGGATCAAAAGCATGCCAAGAGATCCTTCCATCACGTTCTCTTTTGATGACATAAACCCACTCTTCTGCCATTCCAAGACTTTTCCTAAGCGAATAAAAGAAGTTGCCAGCCAGAAGGCGGTACCATCTTTTGCAAACTAGACGGAGTTTTCTATGTTCAACGCGAGGGACTCTGATTAAACAAGCGATTGCAAGATCATCAGGTAGGCCAGGCAGGAGGGGTGGCTGGATTCTGGTCTTTTCCCTGCGCAAATTTTTTGCCCTGTGTGCATTAGGATTAATATCAGGCTGGATGCAAAGTTTTGATCCTGGGACAAACTTTCTTGCCCCCGCAACGGTTTTTAAGCTTGCATCTACTTTGCAATAGCATGATACAGAGTCAACCTGCAAAACTAGCCATGTCAGGATGTCTGATACAAGAATTACCAAAAATTAAGAATAAGCAAGTAAGAAACACCAATTAGAAGCTAATGGCCATGATACATGCTCCTTAGATGTGTTCATGGCCGTAGTATAGGGAATGATTTGAATACTTCCAATGGGAATGCTTAGTTAAATATCATGACTTGCACCAACAGAAATGAAAAAACTAATTAGGCATCGTAACCAAAAGTTTAAAACACAAGAAAATGCAAGTAGTAATTGGATCCGCGGGGAGGGGTTAAGGGCACACAAATATTTATCCACATAATTTCACATGTATAAAAAATGATATGGTTGATCACAGATAAAGATAACTGAATAAAGGGAGCTTTTGTTCATCATCCATGGGAATCATGTTTGACGACGCCCTAAATATGCATTGATGAAATAAACAGTGAAGGATAAGATTTAATCCAAGGAAAAATTATTAAATGAAATTGACAAATAACATGTCTAATTGAACTTTTCATGGGCCAAGAAAGTTAGGCTTTGTCAGCATTTTGGTGTTCCCTTTACTAGTACAAGAGATCCCACATTCACCTAGATATAAACTTAAAATTGATACCAGACAACAAGATAGAGCATGAACAACTCTCAAGGCATTGACAAAATAAATGCAGAAAAAACCAAATCCAAAGCAGTAATTTGATCCAAAGTACATAAATGTTACGAGAACATAATTGAAACTCATGTTGAAGGCAGATAACCATCCAATCATCCACAGAGTCACCTTACATTCAACACTCTGTTCACCAAAGTAAAAGGAACACTAATTTCTTAGCAACAAAAGGTCATGACAAGGAAACAAACATAACCCTCCATGAAAATCAGAATGTGGCACCTCAAACATAAAAACGAAAGGGTTTAGTGTATTAGAGAACTCAAGAAGCAAGCTTATGAAGCAAAAAGATACAGCAAGGGCAGTGAGAACGGTCCTAACAAATGCTCATCAAATTCCTTCTTCGCCAAAATGTTCTATCTCTTAATAATTAACTAGAAGTTGGTCGTCAGGTTACCATAAGCTCCATGGAATAAATTGGAAAAGAAAGAAGCCAAAATTTAGCATTTCCTTAACCCATATGCTCATCCAAAATTTCAAAAGTATCACAAATATTTGACTGAAATACGAGCCGGGTGGCGGATACCCCTAAGCTTATGAAAACAAAAAACCAAAAGGACAATGCAAGGCACTAAGTGCCAGATAAACCTCAAACACACATCCTCACAACCGAATTTCCAATCTTTTCTCAACAATATTGCACAGGAGCTAAATTTTCATAAGAATCAAAATTTAACAATTCCCCGACCCATATATGATCATCCTAAAAATTCCCAAACTTTCCCCAAATAATAACGCATCTAGCAGAAATACGTGCTGCGCACCCCCAAAAAGCTTATGAAAACAACAAACAAAAAGGAAAATGCAAAGCACGTAGAGGCAGCTACACCTCAAACACGCTTATCCACCAAATTTCCCAAATTTCTCGACAATTTATCACAATTAAGCAACTTTTCATCTGGGTATCTCTAAAATGTCGTGAATTGAAAGAAAGCATAAGAACAAAGATTTGGAAAAACATAAAAGGGAAAGATGCGTCAGAGATCAGTAAGAAGACTAACCAGTGGAGCTTGAACTCTGAAGCCCCTCTGAGCATTGGAAGACCGTTCAGTGTTTGAGTCCATTTGAGAATCACAAGCTCATAGAAAAAGGGTACCTTTTGAGTCCAATTCAAAAGGTTAAAGGAAGCTTGGAGGCTCAGATCGAGAAACACTTTAAGCTTCAACTTCAATTTCTTGAATCTGATCCAGCAAATAGTATAAATGAACTAAAAAGCTTTGTCTTCTCTTCCGGAGGGTTTGTTTTCCTTTTAACCTCTGCAAATGCAAACAAATAAGCACAAAAAATAGAACTCTACCTCTACTAACTGAGAACAACAACTACAATAACAAAACCTGAGGGTACATCTTCTCTCTCACTTTCTCTCTCTCTCTAAAAGACTTATTTACAGTCTGTTCTCTCTCTCTCTCTCTCTAACCCAAAAGAGTACAGCTGGACCCATGGGCTTCACCAACTTCTGATTTTGTACTCTAATTTCTAATTATTAAGTTCTGTGTGTATAGAGTATAGACTGAAAAATTAAAAATTAAATGTAGAAGTGGATTTGATTCTCTTCCTCCAACCTATAACGTAGTTTAATGCACACTTTTAAATGTGTATTTGTGGGATTTTAATTTCAACTCATACTAGAGGACAGGAACCTTTAACATGGTTGATACAACTCACAGTCAAAACCCAATTTAGAGGAAAGGAAGAGAGAGACAAGACAGAGGGGGATTTGAACCTTCGCTTTTGGGTATACCAAGATATTAATGGCTCACCTCCATCCCCCTTAATGAGCTTACCTATCCCATGGTGACTGTTTCATACATATGAGTGACATATCCTTTTCGGTTTCTTACTCTCCAACTCTCTTCTTATCCTTTATGGTGCATTATGAACGTGTGTGCATGAGCGACTGAATTTAACATTAATTATACTTTGTATTTAGTTATATATTAGTATTCATAATTGCAAATTAGAGGGTAAATCAAACATTCTTCATCCCTGTTTCTTGTGTTCATCTTAATATCCTTTTTTTAATGTATAAAACTCAAATCAAAATCAACAGATTTTGAGTAGAGTTGATTCCACCCTTAAGGGGTCACTTACCGCATATTAATTTTCCCTCTTATTTCTAACAAAAAAAGAAGAAAGAATATCCCACAATTGGAGTTATATAACCATACTTCATATACGCCGACAAAATTAAGAAAATAAAAGAAAATTATAAAAATAATGAAGTTCGAAAGAGGAGTTTTTTAAATTTTTTAAATAAAAAAAAAGGAAATTGAAAGAGGGGAGTTTCAACATGTTGATGTGATGATTAAGATAAATATTTACTTGCTCTTTTGGCTCATGTGCGCATGTCAAAAGAGATGAGCGAAAGAAGCTTCATTCATATATGTCAAAGAGAATAATGAAGACCCTCTTTTTTCTACGTAACCACTTGTTGAAGGTCTACTCTACTCCCCTTCTCTTTAAAAAATTATTTAAAACATACAAGTCTTTTACTTCTCTTCCCAATCCTTGCAGTTTAATTTTTTTAATAACAAACACTTTGATCTTAGGTTTTCAGCCCTAAGTTTCGTAGGCCCTAGGCGAATGGCAAAAATTTAGCCTTACATTCATGTGATTTGGTTTTTTTAGTGCACTAAAAAATATTATAAGAATTCAAATTCAAGATTGTAACATATAAATGAAAAAAAACAGCAAACAATATATAATATGCACAGCAAGAAAACACGAAAAAGAGATAAAATTTGCTCAAATTCTAGTACAAGGATACTACCTTTTTTTTTTTGGGCGGAACCTTGACGGTACGACGATAAATTTGATTAGGGTTTGTCGAATCGTTGAGAAAGAATTGGTAAAGCCACCAAGTTTTTTCCGTCAAGTTAGAGTTCAGACACTTTTTTTTTTTTGGTTTAGAGTTCAATGTCCAAGTTATTGGCGACTATGAGTTTAATATATAAGTGTGTCTTTTTTGTGTTGGGCACTTAATGTCTTAATTGGGTTCACATAATATATATTTTTTATATTTTATAGAGTAGCATAGTATGTATATATAGAAGTTTATATAAATTGGAGGCCCTAACATTAAAAATGTCTTTTGTCCGAAAGAAAAATTAAATCCATGGTTTTGGGTGAAATAGGTTTCGTACAACAAAATAAAAACAGCACAGCATCAACGGCTCCATTTAAGCGTATTTTATTATTCTTCCACCATGCATATTTTAGGCAAGTGGAAATTGGCAAAACATCTTTGTCTTGTGAGATGCATTGGGCTTTTCTTCAAATTTGGTTCTCTCTTGGCTTGTGGACTATGGGTTTTTTATGGTAGCTTAGGCTTTTAGGTATGGAGTCATTTTAGAGCGAGGGCGTTATATATGGCTCTTAAGGGAGGTACTATCTCTTAACCATTGAATCAGGCTAACTAATTTGATCACACGAGTAATCAATTTGATTCAACAATTAAGAGATATGGCCTCTCTATAGTCCCGTATTATAGCCCAAATGTCCACCATAAATGCAAGTGGGAATTTGGCTTTTTTTGTTTTTTGTTTTTATATAGCTTTTCAATATTCAACAAACATTTTTAAAAGAAGGCAATACCAAAACTTACAAATTTTATTTTTCATAACAAAATTTTATTAAAAATTGTGGACAACCTGTCCCGATGCATACAATACATAACCTATAAATTACACGAGCATATTTCTTCTTCGAGAATTTTCTGTATGGGAAGCTTAACATTAATGTAAACATACCATCAGCATCAGGCACAATATCAAAGTTATATTGTCACGCGAAAAACAAGCTATCCCTGTTTTTTTGGTACATCTTTAGTCCCTGTTATACACATTCCAACTGCGTCAAGCGTACTGAAGGGGAACAGCATATCAGCAGGAGGCTTTGGATTTGGCTTTGGGTCAAATTGACTCATCGGATTCATCAGAGTCGCTTCTATCAGGCTCCCCAGCATTTGTAGCAGCCTCTGTAACATCAGGTTGCGATACAGGTTCTTCTTCCACAGGCTTTTTACTTGCCTTACGATCACTTCCATCTCCATCCTTCTCTTGTTCAGCTGCTTCAACATGTGACCTACTCAATTAAGGAATAAGCAAGCAAAACATACCATGCAGAACTTTGCACTTCTGGTACAAATCTAGTGTGTTACAATAAAGCAACAACGCTGAGACCATCATTCAAATATTGGAAAAAATTTCCTCCCACATGTTTTGTAACCTAATGAATACGAGAACTGACCAAAAAAATAAAAAATAAATAAACATAATATATATAAAGAAAAAGGGGAAGAGGAAAACAGTGTTATTTCCGCATTTTGCACAAAATGATATCGAGATATTAATCAAACACAACATATGAGGATATCAATATTATCAGCTGGCCCACCAGCACTAATGTTCAGTAGATCTTCCTCAACACGCCGCACAAGCTCAGGCTGTAAAATGCAAGAAAATCGCAATCAGCAAAACATACAAATGTGAATGACATCATAATAAGATAGCTGCATTGCCAGCCAAATCCCTTCTCTTATGTCAGTAAGGCCCCTTCATCCCATAAAACTTATTTTTCAATTGACATTGTTTCCAAAGTCTAAAACCAGAGGATAACATCTCACAACCTTCTGTCCAAGATATATTTCTTAGTATTTGGTATAACATGCATTTATTACTTTTGAGAACCACGGAGACTGGATTTCTTCTTTCCTTACGAAATATATTTATAGCATTACCAAATAAAATATTCCAATGTAAAGAGGCTAATGATACATTTAGATCAGGCTCCCTCCGAAATCTTCGCTTTCGAGCATCCCTCATTGGAGGGGTAAGACCATGCCTGTACTCCACTGTATCTGGCGCCGCATCACTCGAATCTCTAACCATAATCATCTGTTAAACCACAAAAGTTCATGTAAATGCCTTAGAAACGAAGCCTTCATATATTTAACTGTTTCAACATTGATATACAGGACCCACCTGACCAATATCTGCAGTCTTAATTAACACACTATCATCATATGTTTTGAAGGACTCCACAACACAAGGAAGATCCAACAACGATGCAGGGAAACGGTCATTTCCAACGACAAATGTGCCAGTCCTGCCATCCTCTGCAAGATATTCCAAGTTTACAACCGAACCATTTGTTGAAACAGGGGAAGCGAAGTTTTAAAAAAGGATGCAATTCGTTGTTGTTACTTCCTCATTAGTTGGCTAGTCCAACAAACATACTAGAAACCATAATTAATCATGCGACGGATTGCAAAAGAAGCTACAAGCACATTAAGTAGGCAAAAGATTCAATAGTTATCAAAAGTGAGTAAAACCAAGTGAAGATGTTGTCTTTCTTCATGCAACATGAGGTATCTATGGCATATGGGTAGGCCATGAGTGCGGAAAATGAACTTAATTCTATTCTATTTTTACGCACATGTCAAAGTACCATAACTACAAAAGGCCCTCAGGATTATGATCCTATACCACAAGACAGGTTATATTGGCAACATCAAACATACCAAATGGCTGTCAAATGCCACCACTACAAGAAGACAACTAAAGAAAGCTTCAAACTGACATAACCTGCTTCTTGGCAAACCTTAGTCTGACATTCCAAAGACCAAACCAAACCAATTGCTATTCATATCTTTTCACTTGAGCAATTCATATCCATTCCAAAGACCAAACCAACTGCTATTCATATCTTTTCACTTGAGCAATTCATATCCATTCCAAAGACCAAACCAATTGCTAAACATCAAACCCCCCAAGACAATCCAACAAAATACCCAACTCCAATTCATAAGCAAAATCACCAAATTCCAACCATCACTCTTAAAATCATTAAGCTGCCATAACCCTTAAATTAAATATTATAATTACACCTTATTGGCCGTCATCAACAAACCAACACAAAAGTTAGCATTTTTTCTCTTTCTTAGAGAGGTTTCTGCCATTTTGTGATGAAAATAACAGAAAATTGTGACTAATTCTAAGACACCGTCAATCCAAAAAGTAGGTTTCTTCTTCTTACCTTCGAATGACAAATCCAACGACTTGTCGTCAGTAGAAGCATTTTCGCCCAAAAGGCGGTCTAATCGCTCTGCAACGGAAGGTGGAACTCTGAGTACGAACTGCTCCTCCATCACTACAAAAGTGCGGCACCGTTTTATTACCACAAATTACAACACACACAAAAATGATCCTAAACATTGAACACGAAAATACAATGCCATCTTCTCAGAGGTCCATGTCGCGGAAGAACAACAAACAGAAAAGAAAAACCCTAAATACAAACCAAAATGTGTAATGAATTCAAAAATTCAATCCTAAATGTAATCTAAGTTCGGTGTCTAAGAGATTACCTGAGAGAAAATCAAGCTGCGAGAGAAATTGGGATGGCTAAAGAAATAGTACTGGATTTACATGTGGTATTATGTGTAACAGGGTTTGTTCAGAGCTCATTTTGGTCCGCGTAACACGAGATTAAGCGAAACTTATATCATAGGCAGAATAAGTGAATTAGATAGATTGGGCTTTTTATTCTAGTTGGGTTCTCTCTTGGATTCTGCACTATGGGCTCTTTATGGTAGTTTAGGCTTTAATGGACTATATGGGCACTTTGTTGAATACTTGGCCTCGTGGATTTTGTTAGTTTTTTGTTTTGTTTTAATAGACGCAAGAGAATGACGATTTCTCACATACTATCAAGATGTGACGGGGGTTTGAATTTGAGACCACTAGTATGCAAGACAATAGAGATTTTGCAAGTTTTTATTGGATGGGTTTTGTGTGAAAAGTTAAAAGGCATGGCAATGCTCGTTTGTTAAGTATTTCTACTAAATGATGAGTACAGACCAGGCAACAAAGATGGAAGAGGCAGTAGAAAGAAAGAGTTAATGAAAGCGTGCTCGGCTGCCTCCTCACTCCATTTCAATCCGTTTCAATACCAAAGCATACACGCATTTGCAGTGTATGGGTTTGGTAACGTGTACAAGGCATGAAGCAAGAAGGTGTTGGGTCATTTACCGATTGCAAAAGCAGAGAGCTTTATTAAAACTTGAAGCCATAATCAAGGCAACTCATCTCTCATCAACCAAGCCAAGAGACGTAAGAAAAGAGAGGTTAATACCAGCGACAATGGAGGCTTTGGCTGAACCTCAAACTCAATCATCATATTTTTTTTTTAACAATTGAAACTTGATATTAGTCCACCAAATCTTTTTACTAATCATCATATTTGTTCTAACTTCTTTTCGCCAAAAAAGTAATTAACAATTCTAAACAACTGCGCCCCAAATAATCACTCAAAACAAAAGTGAAACGATATGTGAATACTTGGCCTTTCTGAGTTAAACAAACTTAAATAAAAATAACAATTGTTTTAAGTTTGACAATGAATGGCAACTAAGCTTATTCCTGTCCAATCAGTACCAGAAGATCCCATGCAAATCGGAGAAATCTACAGTTTCCAAGAAGGCTTTGTATTCATTTCAGTCAGCAACCAAAATATTACAAAAGCCCTAGACCTCCGTAACTCCTCTGTTTAAAAGGAGGAAGAAATGGCAGGAACAGAAGAACCTCTCAACACTATAACCCCACAAACTGGGTTGAAACGAACATGCCTATGAGATACACAAAGATGCGGCCGAAACGAAACCCTCTCCCTCTCCCACTACATATTCTACAACCCATCCAAAATCACAAGCCAGAGTATGTAATAAGCGTACAGAAAATTTTAAAAGACAAAGTAATCCCTACTCTGTTAGTAATTTTTAATCGACACCTACCAACATTACACAAACCTCTATTCCTGTGGCGCCAAATACCAAACATAAGTCCCCCCTCCCTCAAAACATTGATGAGCACTTCCGACAGTATAAAGCATTTGATGGCTTAAACCAAACATTACAAAAACAAAAATATGACGACCTTATAAAGAAGGAAGAAGTCTGCAGCCATTACCTAGAGACACTGTAACTGCTTTCAAGAGTTAGTGGTTAGTCCCATGCACTGGTCATCCCAGGACCACCATATCCTCCACCTCCACTATAACCACCAGAAGAACCACCATATCCACCACTGCTGCCTCCGCCATAGTAATCAGAACCACCCCTACTGAAAGAGGAATCCCTTCGGAAGTCACGGCCACCAAACCGGCCTCCCCCAGAACGACGGTTCCTCCCACCACCAAAAGAAGATCGAGCTGCATACCGGGACAGCCAAGCAGGTACTTCTTGATTTGATTCTTGCATCAAATCTGCTAAAGATCTAGCCAGGGATGAATTGTTCTCATTAAAGAAGGCAGTAGCTAAACCAGATTTCCCAGCTCGTCCAGTACGACCAATGCGGTGGACATAATCATCAATGTCATTTGGAAGATCAAAGTTGACAACATGTGCAACATGAGGAATGTCAAGCCCGCGTGCAGCCACATCAGTAGCCACCAAAATTGGAGTGTTGCCGCTCTTAAATGACCTTAATGCTTGTTCTCTTTCCTGTAGACAAGTACAAATAAATAAAAGGTAGGATTTAAACACTAAAACAGCATACAATCTTAAAACACTGCAATACATGGCAACTACTACATGACCTCAAGCACATGGTATAAGATCCATTCCAAAGTCTCAAATTTGATTATACAAAAGCACAGTTCAGACATCAAGCCCAGTAGCGTATACATGATAACAGCTTTTGTACACCACTTTATCACTAAATTCAAATATCAACATAAAAGAGGAAAAATGCATCTCCATCACAACCCAGTACATACCTATTAGAAAGTCAACACAAATCCCAAACCTAGACTCATGACCCATGAAAATACAAAACCTTAACAAGCCCACGGAAAGCCATATCACCCACACCCAGCATCAGCAAGCAGTGAAAGATGATATTCCAAAACGGCAATTCACACTCACAGGACCTTAAACAAGCAGTCCTTGTTTCTCTACTTGTTATGTACCTTGCTATTCTTCAGCTTGTAGGAGATATAGCTAACATGCTATTTCATGTTCACTAGAATCTAAATCCCCTACCAATTCCCACCAACCCAACATTCCCAAACATGAACAATCTGCTAACTCAAAAAGTCTGAGTGAGCATATCTGCGTTTGTTCAACTATTAAAAAAAATGCATCCCACCATATTATCGGGGTACCTTGATGGCACCAATTACCTGGCCACACCACTGTAACTCCCTTTAAAAATTAAAGACGCAGCCCGGCATGATAGAAACCAGAAAGATAAAACCAACTAACCTGCTGTGATCTGTCACCATGAATAGTAGTTGCAGGAAAACCATTCATACACAACCAGTGTTCCAGTGAATCGGCTCCCTTCTTTGTCTCCACAAAAACTAATGTCAGAGCTTGCTACAAAACCAACATAGTGCAATCGAGTGAGGGGAGGGAGGGGTTCAAGAATCACACAAATAAAAATAATACAATTGAGAATAGTTTTCACAATAAAATTTATTGGAAAATTTGGGTAATATGACAACCCCCGAAACCTATTTAAAAGAAGTTTATTCTATGAGAATACCTTGCCCTGTACGCCATTGGCCCTCTGTGCATGAAGAAGGTCCATAAGGTGACTTCTTTTATCAGACTCATGAACAAATTCCACTCTTTGGACAATCAAATCAGTACTAGAACCCACCCTTCCAACTGCCAGAAAGATGTACTTTGCAAGAAAATCAGAGGCCAGCCTCTGCATGTAAAACAGAACTTTCACATTAAACAACACATCACAAACACAGGATAGAAGAAATAGGAACCAAAAATAATCATCTTTTATACTGTTATTTGATACTCCTGGTTGGAAACATGTCTGTACAAAAGCTAGTGGAGACAACACTTTGATAAAAGTCTGCCATCTATAAACTTATTCCCACAAAAGAAAAATTACCTGTATTTCCTTTGGAAAAGTGGCACTGAACAGCATAGTCTGTCGTACACCTGGTGGAGGCATGTCCATTTGTTCCACAATTTTCCTTATTTGTGGTTCAAAACCCATATCCAGCATTCGATCAGCCTCATCTAGGGCTAAATACCTTATCATCTGCAATGAAACTCTAGCTCTCTCCAGCAAATCCACCAATCTTCCAGGAGTTGCCACAAGAATATCAACACCTCTTTCAAGTTCCCGCAGCTATCCAAAAATACTTAAATCAAAATCTGCTATATATCTCAAAAATAACATGCCGGTGAAGTAAATGAGGAAATTTAGACAAAATAAGATGTAAGTGGTGTAACAACTTGCAGGACTAAGTATATAGACTCAAATGCCATACATGCGTGTACATCATGTATCTCACGCCAACAAACGTTCAATTTGTCTCACCATCTCAAAAAGAAGATGCTGAGAATAATTTAGCAGTCATTACATGGATGAACTTAATGAAAATACAATTAGACAGAAAATATCCTAAACCAAACCATGCAACGTTCATATAATACCAAGATAACAGCACCAAACATCTAAAATGCAAACTACATTGGCAATCATGTTAATAATTTATCAGCTAAACTTAAGAATTATGCTTATAGAGTACATCCACCAATACACAAAAAGTGAAACAAACTTTCACTTTAATTACTAAAGTTCCATATGAGATTGCAAGCTAGAGCACAGGGTTTTCTAAAACTGTAAAGTTCATGAGTTGGACAAAATAAACACAACTCTCACGTTGAGTCACTAGCAATATAAAGTCATCAATTACAGAGCACTAGATAAGTACAAAGCCAAGACAACAGGGATAAAGGAAAGCATGAAAAAACCTGTTGGTTAATTGGTGCTCCTCCATAGGCAACAACCACCCTGACACCTGTTTGATATGAAAATTTCCTAGCTTCCTCATGAATCTGAAACAGGAAGAAAAACTTTCAATTCTTATCACATGGACAGCCAGAAACTGTGAAGACACGATAGATAAGTTACTAAAACATACTTGAATTGAAAGCTCCCTAGTAGGAGATAAAATGAGAGCAAGTGGATAAACTGTATGTGCACCACGGGGCGGTCTCTGTGCAGGTTGTCCCGTCATAATTCCACTGATGATTGGGAAACAGAAAGCAGCCGTCTTTCCCGAACCAGTTTGGGCACATGCCATCAAGTCCCGGCCCGCAAGGGAGATGGGAATAGCATGACGCTGCACAGGTGTTGGTTTCACGTATTTGCACCTCTGAATATTTTTATTGAGTGCATCACCCAAGTCAATATCAGCAAATGTATTCACAGGGGTCGGAACATTATCACCACTTGTCTCAACCGGAATATCTTCATACGCATCAAAGTTAATACCACTGTTTTC